AGCAGTGGGAGTCCGACGCGCGTGGGCAGGTAGTTATTCTCGCAGAGCACGTGCTCGTTGCTGCAGTACATCGGCCGGTGGCCGTAGATAACTATCCATGGTCGTAGCCGCCTGTTGACCAAGCCCACTTCACTGCTATTGTGTCACAGCTTTATAAAAGCTTGCTTATCGATATTCCGAATTATTAACATTTTTCTTATTAAACACAAAACACTCAAAACACATTTCAATCTAGGTTTATTGACTCGTTAGTTCTTTTGTACATGTTATGCCTTTTGTTCTTCGACTGCAAATGTTGATATGTTCTAGTAGCCTTATTTCTCGTTCATACTTTTGTATTACGTATCAAAGTTATAATAACTTAAAAAAAGTAAAATCTGTTTTTATTTTCTTTGATTCAACATTACTGATATTGCCGATTGGGATTGCTTGAAGTATTACTCTTAAACTATTTTCTTCCTTTTCTTTTATTCTAATTATGGAGAAACACTGGTATTTTCACGTTAATGTTAATACACACCGTTCAAACGTACAAATATTAGAAAACAATCATAAGTTCACACTGAAAACTTCTATACAAATCATATTTCCTTAAAGAGATATAGAAATATATTTTGCACACGTTTCAAGAGTGAAAACTCGTGATAAAAACACACACAAGACACAGTTTTAAAAACAAATCGTCATGCCTTTAGACGGATTCCAAAACAACACTGTTACACATATTTGGCATTATTATTTGCCTTGCAAGAAGAAAGGGCGTAGGAAATATTTTTTCAATAAAGTTTTTTGAAGTCCTTTGAAGATATCTACATTTATGTAGTATTTTATGATTAATTTAAGCAGTTGTCGTACCTTACAAAGATTTGAGAAAGCAGATAAAAAGACACTTAAAAACATGAAAACATTATATATTGTTTTTATGTTAGTCATAATGCAAATTGTATTGTTGCATCAAATGATTAGTGGAAAAATTATTGAAGAAAACAAAACATACATAAATATAAAATAATTAGTTAATAATTTCTTATATTTACGAGAACATTACATGTGGAAAACATAATGTTATGTGAGATGTGATAAGTTTATTTTATTATGATTAACTTGTTTACGGTCGAGATGTTTCTAGAGCCTTTCAGCTTTCATGGGACTCTCCTAGCATTATGTATTGTCTATAACGAAGTTATGACAATCTTGATTTTGTGGTAACATCACAGAGTCGTCTCTATACAATTTATGCTCTATTATTTTTTTTAGATTTATGAATAAGAAACATTTTAATCCATACAATTATTTTTCAATGACATCGACAATGTTACTGAGAGCTGTAATTAAGTGTTAACTTAATGATAAGTTATGTCATTGTCCGATTATAATTTATTATCTCACTGGACATGTAACTAAATAATAATATAGCTAGTGAGATTGTACACAAGGTTCACGAATTATTAGTGAAATAAATGTTACCACAATACTCTAGAACTGCTTAACTGATCTGGATGAAATTTGTAACAGTTAGATTAGTTTAGTAAACGCAGAGTCCGCGACAGTCAGCTAGACACTGACCTGTTCTCCTCGCGGTTAGCCTCGCTAAGGTCCTGCTGCA